CATCTGTGGAGGGGCGTTCGCCCCTGGCAATGGCCCATGTGGTGGTCGGTCGATGGGGATATTGATCGCGGGTAGCCTTGGGGGTGGTCGAGCGGGAACTTGTCCTTGTGCTGGTGCTGGTACGGGAATAGGTGGCACGACACCTGCATTATGAGGGACCCCATTGTCTGGCTTTGCAGGTGGCATGCCACTTTGCTGTGCGTTATTGAATGGACCCTGTCGAGGAGAGTGGGCTTGGGGCATGCGAGGAACGTTTTGTTCCCCCATAGGAGGCCTAAGTTGACCGTTCAATCTTGGATCAGTTGCTGGAGGAGGCGCTGGCCTGACAGGGGCAGCAGCAGCAGTAGGAGCAGGAGGAGGGGGGTGCACAAATCCCTGGGGAAGGGTGACAGGCGGTAACCCTCCCATGCGTGGCTGGGTAGGTGTTTGTTGGATTTGCCTTGGCTGCCTCATCGATACATGTGTATCGATAGCTCTGGAGCTATGGCGACCAGAGGCGGGCATCCTCTGGAAATATGCATTGATTGCCACTCTCTCAAGCCTAGGAGATTTGCTCTGCTTCGAGTGGCTTCTATGCTTTCTGGAGCTTCGCACACTTCTGTCATCCCAGTGTCTGGGATCATCTGCCGCCCGCCATTCTGATTCGATCTGGGCCAGCTTATAGTAGAACCGGAAGTCACGGTCCTCTTTGGTCAGATCAGCTTGAGCCCTGTCGAGCTGAAGCTGGATTGTCTCGTTCTTGTCTTGCTTCTTCTTCGAGACAGATCTTGTGGTTCTGTCCAAGTGCTCGATCCTCTCTTTGATCCTTGATTGGGACATGTTCTTGTCTGTACGAGTGATGGTCTCCCAGTCATATTCGGTGTCCCGTGCCTTGCCACCACTGGAGGCACCAGGAGTCTTTTCGAGGCGGAGAGCTCTGTACATAGGAAGCTCACCGCTTCGGGCATTTTTGATCTCAGCGGGATCTTGCAGCCGCAGATCCATAGGAAGCTGGGGGGGATGGCTATAAGGCCGGATGTTGGCAGGCATGAATGTAGGAAGCCCTGCAGGAAGCCCGGCAGGGGCCCCGTTCTGCTGGGGCATTGAAGATCGTGTTTGGGGAGCTTGAGTATGATGCATTGGTGCTGGGGTATTTTGAGGCATAGCCCCGACAGGAGGAAGGCCAGCCATAACGTGATTGGTATTTGCTAGGTGAATGGAGAATTCCAATTCTGGGATTGATACGATTGAGAGGAAGAATAGGGCTATGATATATGCGACTGGAGATGGAGAGCTCGGGTGGGCGTAGCTTGGGAGGGATTCGAAAGCTCCTACGTCCAGAGACTTGTGCAAATCAAAAGTGAGGCTGGCGAGATAGCCAAGGGATGCGTCCTAGTCAGAAGATGGAGGGGGGATGGAAGGTTGAAGACTAAGGAGGGGCGCAGTACAGCCTTGCTGAAGCAGTCGTGTCAAGCAGTAGGAGAAAGTCTTCTTTGCTTGTAGATATGAGGGAAGAAAAAGCTGTTTATTTGAGCTGAATTGGGAGTGTCTCTGGATCTCTGTGGGAAACTCAAAGGGCGAGTGAGGGTCTATTTGAACTTGAAGAGCCATTGCTCAAGACAAGTACGTATTGGCATTGGTTTCTTGATCTGGTGTTCCGACACGATACGGCATTGATGAGTACTCTTGATGATGAAAGCCAGTTTTGTGTTACTGAGAAACTGAAGGTTGTTGTTAAAGGCGAACCATACATTGGTTGTTCTGCGCTCGAGTTGGTGGTTCGCCCGTTAACCTCCACCAACAGCACATCAGCTTGGCGCAAGCCAACTACGCACATTGAGTGTGATATAATGAATAAGCCTACAGAAGGACTCTCAGCCGAAGTGAACTGAGTAATCGGCAAATGCATTCCTTGCCGAGCTTTGCTGAGATACGGCATCATTCGCCTGGTCGACGCGGCCAGACTGACATGCATCAGGCAATCGGCAGAATCCAACGACTCAAGATGATCCTTTCAACCGGCGCCTCCATTGTGTGTTACCGCATGTTGTCTCGATATGGCGACCGACGATGAATGATGAGGCAAGTTCCCGAGAGGCTGACCCGACACCGACAGCCCGTTCTGTCCGCGCCCAGATATGCAGGAAGGCGATCGCCGTTTCTGGGATACGGCATCTCATGCTGGCTAGGAATGCTATGCTGTTCACTTTGACTAAGTGTCTGGGTGTGTTACTCTGCGGCCCTCGGTCGCCCGGTGAGAGTTTAACACGATGATCTGGAGATCTTTTACGCTGCGTAACCATTTGTTCGAGTTAAGAGAGGCCCTGCATTCTTGTGCTGTTGAATCAGATAATTGCCTCGGATACGCCATGGCTGGACTCAAAAAGAAATCACCACGAACTCGTTGGGCGTTGATGTCGTTGGATATGTCCGAAACTTGTGCTACAGAGGACGAGAGGGCAGACGCAGACGCAGACGCAGACGTAGCGTATCGCCACAATCGAGAAGTATAGTCTATCGTGGAATTAGGCCTTGTCCGCCATGGCACGAAAGTGAGAGCGACAGGTCCGGGTTGGACACATCGAGGAATCGGTGAAACAAGTTGAGAGTTGCACTAAGGCATAGCTTCACGGGAAGGTCGGGTATGCAAGTGATTGCAGAGAATGTACAGCAGCGAGCTGAATGATGTGCATATTTGGTTGATACGGCCATTGATTACCCATGGATCTCTGGCAAGGCAGACAGACAGTTGTTCTAGAGTGCATACTACGGTTCTACCTAGATAGGTACTTTGGTCTGTTGGTTCGCCAAGTCAGCGGCAGTTGGGATTATTAACATGGTTGAAAATACGCATAAAGTGTGATGTTGAGGCATAATGACTCAATCAGCCTCGATTGCCTCGCCTTGGAGGCGAGTGTGTCCAAAGTGTAGATGCCTCTTGAGTTAGATGGTGATGGTGGTAACGCAATCCATTTACACCGCGTCACGGCCCATCCCACCTAATGCACGATATAGTCAGCAGTTTGGTCGAGAAGCGCCCTAGTTGTGCTGCAACTAACTCCAGACTATGTGAGTATGTCGAACATATTGTGATGCGGGAGGTAGTAGAATGAATGAATGAATGAATGACCCAGTCTAGAAGTGCATGTGCGGCACAGGCTGTTGATGATGGATGGCCTTTGAGGGTTTCTATACGTCGAGATATAATGCGACAACAAAATGAGGCGAAAGTGAACATGTTTCAAGTTTTGAGTCGTTATGAATTGTGTCTGGATTCCGAGACATGAATACGGAGTTTATCAGTCTTGATTTGAGACAGCAAAGCATAGCACAGCACAACACAGCACAACACGACACAGCAACACATAATACAGTTGGCGATAGTACAAAGGCGTGTCTACCGCGTGGCCGTGTGACCTGTCAAGAGGGTTCAATATATCAATTCTTGCCGATGGCGATACAACCGTCGATGATCAGGCAACTGGCCGCCTGTCAACTGAGGTTACACTGAGACATGTCCAAGTTCTATGGGGAATCCAACTCTGAACGGGTGTGTCTGTTGTACCTAACTTTTGCGACAGAATATTCAGGGCGTTTCTCCTTCACACCCTCAGTTCATGTCTGCTAACTTTGGCCGGGCGCCCAAATATGGTTGCCTTGTGGATGCCTCGTGAGGGGTCGATTAAGTACTTTGCTTTGGTTTTCCTTTTTTTTCTTTCTCTTCTTGTTCCAAGGGCGACCGATTACTCTTTTTGTTAATCCGAGTGTGATTGACAAGTCTTGGTTAAGGTAGGTAGGTAGGTATTGGTTTACGCCGGCGACATTCGTCAATGGCCGATAACATCATTTGCCTTCAGAATGCTTCTCTAGGAATCAGAGCGGCAGAGCATTGTCCGTGACCAAACCAACGTCAGTCGAGAGATTCAGGAAATACCTGCTTATCGTCTTAAACACGCCCAACGTGAAGCACCAAGATCTCGCTCGCAATGTCCCATGGAGCCACTAGTCCAAGTCTGAAGTTACTACCTATGTGTGGATGTGTTTGTCTGAAAACTGAAATAGATAGATACCAAAACTTGTTATCCTCAGAGCATTGTGTGACTGGTGACATGCCGGGAGAATGCTGTGTCAAGTCTAGACCCTCCTTCTTATCCCTTTCAATGCCGTCGGTGAGTCTCTCTCTGTGTGGCCTTTTCAACCTTCTTCTACCTCTCAATGGCCTTGCCATTCTCATTCGAGGCCGAATCCGTCAGCTCAACAGAATGCGTTGGTCTTGGCTCTGAATATTGACGAGTGCACGGGCTCATATAGAGGCGCAGGTCATTTCATGGCAGGCTACAAGTTCCATCGTGGCTCGGAGCTTGTAAGGAGATTGATTGTGGTTATCACATTCGAGCTGCTACGATACTCAAAGTGCAATAGATATGGGCATATTTTCATCTCAAGATATCTTAGATTTAGAAATGCCTACATCCAACCCGCTGGCGGTTTTCCAATTCCGGAATCAAAGCTGTCTCATATAAAATCAATTAAGCTCAGATTAGTTTGAGGCAGCTCAGCTTGGGAGAACTGATGAAGCTCGCAAACAGCAAGGATATCACTTCAGCCCTCTAGGCACCCACGCCCTATCAACCCCAACACACCACTCTCACCAATCAACGACTTCTTGCAGACATGAGCCACCTGGTTGTATATCAAAGTAGGTGTCTACTCATTCAGCGAAGTAGCTCAATCAGTCAGCAATATGTCACTCAACCATTTACCTTGCTGACTATGGTCCCCCTCTTGCTTCGTTTCTTTTTATTCGATGTTCGATGTTCGATTCCCAGATTCCGTCGTTTGCTCCAAGGCAGTCATGTTTTGACATAGAATAGAAATCAAATTCATTGGTATGGGTACATACATGTCTGTGTCGTTGTAGCATTCGGTTGCTTTATGCCTATACATCGTTCTAATGCCGTCTTCATCGTTGAGCCTGATAGCCTTGCCTCACCAATCTCCATTACCCAACTTTCCAAGCCTTATGCCAGGTACACATAGGCGTTGCCCTCTCTTTCGATGTAATCCTTCTCGATAAGACTGTATCTCGCGTCAGCCACCTCCGGACAGCATCATTAACGTATGGCATCACATACCTTTCGATCTCCTTCTTGATCGCCGCCGGCTCAACACTACCTCTTTTCTTTGTCAGGTTGATAACCTCTGCCACCAGGTCACTGTGACCCATGCTCTTACGACTTTTCATTATTCTAACGATGGCAGCCTGTGTCTCAAAGCGTCGGTCTTGAGCGATCCTTTCATGTGTAGCCTTGTTCTCCTCCTTTGTCTCCTTCAGCTGGATCTGATTGATCTTGACTCTGTACTTGGGGTCTGTAAATGTTTTGTTAAAAGTAAACGTATCAGTAGGCTTGACATCACGGCCTTTCGGGTGCTTGGTAAGCACTCGCGCTTTGCCGCAAGCGAGCGACTGAAGTGTGCGATCAAGATCACCGCCTGAAAGACCGGTTCCCGTCGCGATCTGTTCATATGCCAAGAATCCATCAGCCGGCACGCTGTTGAACATCATCAGAACCACAGCCTGGTATGCAGATACAAGAAGCTCCTTCGGCCCCTTGGCGAAGATGCCCTTGAGGGAGCAGTGAGCCAATGAGTGCTTCCACGTCAAGGCTCGTCCGGTATGCTTATTCTTGTAATACTTGTCAAACCTCTCGATCTGCGTGGCAACCTCATCTGGCAGGTTGAGACGAACATCCGGGTAAGTTGGCCACGCAGCAGCGGACAAAATCATGACGGAAAGGTCCAGAGAATTCTTGCGCTCAGCACTTCCTTGACGCCATTGCTTGAAAGACTCCATTTCATCCTTGCCGAGTTCCTGGTCCTTGAACATCTGTTCCAGATTATGTGTAAAGTTAGCACCGCACTCTCCTCGAAGCTTTGTTAGCATGTTGCGCTCAGCGTCTTGGCTGGCACTTCGTCCCATGAGCAGTCTTCGAGCCAAGTCCTTTTTGTAAAATGCCTCGAAGGCGTCCTTGCCCTCGATGAAGCGGAACAGCTCGAGCGCCTGGTCAAGCTGTCTATCAAGCTCAGCATCTTCATCACCTGTGCTGGCTTGACCTTCCTTCTCAGCTGTCGCTCGATCTTTCACATCTGACAGAAGCTCCTTTGGTAGTGACTTCAAGCCACCTCGCAGAAGCACGTCGATATATTTGGCGATCATCTCGCCGATTTTGGATGTTCCCGTGTCCCAGCAAGATGCAGCTTTGCGGTCGTTCATGAACTTCCCAAAAGAATCCCTCATGCCCCAAAGGAAGTCTTCGTCCTTATTAAAGGCATCTCGGATCATCAGGTCGAGTGATCGGCGGAGCTCTAGTAAGCGCAAAACCATTTGGTCACCCTTGTCTTTGTCGCTGATGATTGCCGAACCAGTTGATCGAATGTAGTCGCCCCATGGATCTTTCATCTTCTTTTGGATCCCTGATAACCGAAGCAAGTCATACAAAGCCTTCATTGACTCAACTTCTCTATCAGCCAGGAGCTTCGCCAGGTTCCCACCGTTGAGAAGCTTTTCTGAGTAGTTGGTGATGAGATGGGCGTGCGCAGAGTCCATAAGTTGCTTCTCCGTCGTACTATCGAGGTTGAATTGGATGCAGCGATAGTCTTCCCTTTTCAGTAACTTCTCGCAAACCAAAATGTAGTCCTTGAGACTTGACGTGCTCCAGGCTTCGCCAAATTCTTTCAAGTATCTCTCAGACTGCTCTAAGAAGTAGGGCTCAAAGTGCTTGACATAGACCTCCAAAACATAAAGCATCATGATGGAATCTTTCAGTAATGCAGGTTCGATTTGGTCGACGCCTCTTCGATCATGCTCAACCAAATCGCAAACGCCTGCGATTAGCTTCACGCCGACCGAGTTTCTATAGGCTTGACTCTGGGATGGGAATGCCATTTTTCTGAACTGCTGGATCGCCATATCGTTTATAGATGCAAGATTCTTCTGTAGTAAATATGTTCGATCGAGGTAGCTGAATGTTGATCTGATCAATATCTGCAAGTGTTTCTTAGCATCTCAAACCTATATACAAACATCCAGCCTACCGTTTGTGTATTCCAAGTCTTCCATTCCGCTAGTACGCTCTTCACAGTATCGAGGTTCGAAGCATGACCATTCTTCTGGATTCTGGGTAGCACAATCCGCTGCAAGTGCACATCGATTCTCTCTTTGAGCATCTGGTACACCTTTGCGGGATCCCCCTTTCGACAGACATCCTCGACACCCCTGTACAGCCTCTCCAAAGGGACATTAGGTGTCCGTCCCGCAAAGACAGCCTCTAAGGAATCCTCGAGCTCCTTCTCCGTCCGTCTATAGTACTCCGCGACCTGGGTATCTCGACTCGTGGGCGCCCGCAGATTCTTGATAACAAGCTTCTTGGAACCAGAATAAGGCTTGAACGCAGAAGGTGCCTGCGTTAGGTCGATGGTCTCGGGGAGCTTGCCCCGCGCTTTAGCGGTGGTCATTTCGAAGCGCGCCCGCTTAGAGGTGGCAAGGGGAGGTGAAGCTGAGGATGATGAGTCTAACCGCGGCCTTCGCCGGGAGGGAGAGGTTGTTTCCGGCGCCAACGGTTGCATGGAGTGAGCCCAGGCGATATATCAAGAAAAGAACGAGGCCTGGAACAACCGTACAAAGAGCTGTCGCGCAGGCCTCGGTTTCTCGGACTGTCCGGTGTTTGGTTGCGGTATTCGATAGTGAGCAGACGTGGGCGAGAAGTGTATTATCAGAGTGTTTCTTGGTTAGAATCAAACGGAAATGGACTAACTCGAAGAAGAGTCAAGGCAGTACTTTTGGAGATGATGGCAAGTCTGAATAACAATGTTTTCGAGGTGGGCGTGTTGATTGATTGAAGGTGATTGAATCCATGATAAGATAAGAAACTGGAGCTACCGCCATCTATCTCCGGCTTAATAAAGAGCGTCATCGGTTTGTATGACAAAAGAAATGGAACGCTTGGGTACTAACTACTACTACGTCTACATAATGCTACAACAAAGAACACAAGACTGGCATTCTCGCTCCGTTGATGGCTTCTCTGAATCAATTCAACTCTTCGAGCTCTTCTTATTAAATTCAATGTACGTACTTTAATTACTTAGGGTAATCATTGGATATTGGCAACTCCCGACTTACACCAACGTTTTGACAGCTTGAACTTCCCCGAGTGATAACAAACGTTCATGAGATCATTATCAATTAATCGCCGTATCTCCAACTGTGTACTAGTAATACTGAAATGCAATTGACACCTTGAGCTGAGCCCTGAGCTACCTATGTGTGATATGCCTATTCGTGTGCCGTCTATTATGTACCAGTCCTCAGTACGTCGCCAACTACATAATGATTATGTGTTACATCTCTCTCTGCCTCAAGTAGGTTTTTGCCCAACATCTTAAGCATACGCTGCCCAACCTAGGAAAAGGGGCCTGTTAGCTGTGAACCCAAGTTGGTGACATCTGATCAGCTTACCAGAATACAACACTGCCAAATTTCGCTCATCGGTGGCTTGGTTGATCAACTTGTTTACTGTTGCAGTCACACTCAATGTTTTCGAGAGCTTCTTCCTTACAATTTCTAAAGCTCTGTCAGCTTCAGATGGTTCATTGACGTGGCCTGCAGCCCTTTTGCCCTTCTTTGTCTCTGCCTCGCTTTGTTCATCATCCATTGGGGTTTCGTCATTGTGTCTCGCCTTTTGGAGTTTGGCAAGTCGGAGCGGCGAGATCGACCACGTATACAGCGGATCAAACCGCAACACGTCCAAGATTGTCATGATCGAGTACTGCTCTTCTCTTAGAGCATCTAGCGTAAATTCACAGCATCTCCGGAAGACGCCTTCTGTCTTGGTGATTCCCATTCCATCCACAATGTCTCTTGTCAGTCTGAAGGGGACCAACTCCGGTACTGGCAGAATACGACCAGCCTCAAATGCAACACCCAAGTCAATGTGGACAACTTCCCCCGTCTTGTGGTCCAAGAGAATGTTGTGCCCATGCCGGTCTCCTAAACCGAGAACGTGTCCCAGCATCGATATAGCCGCAGTGCTTCTGGTGTACGCTAGTCTTTTTTGGAACCATTCATCTGGATCCATAAAGTGTTCCATAAAGAAGTATCTCATGACTGGGTGGAATTTCTCCGTGACCTTGCGATAAGTGCTGATTCGAGTTTCCACCGTCCGACTTTGGACCCCAAATATTTCCTTACGACATTGGGAGCCCTTCAAGTCTCTTGGGTGGTATCTTTCATGGGCGGGCATCAAGAACTCATGAAGTGGGATCGTGTTGGGGACAAATTCAATCAAACCTGAAGATGCAGTGAGCGGCAATACCTTGTATGTCCTGATCCCTAGGTTGCGCTGCTGAGTCGTCCTATGAAGCTTCAGCAGAGACGATACGGCCGAAAAGACCTGTTCCATGATAGCATCCTGTCGCAGGTCATCGTGTCCTCCTTTTACAAGCTGTTTGTAGCGCACACCATCACTCCCAATGGCAGTAATGATTTTGGGAGCACTGACGCCTGAAGCGATGGTCATGGTGGGCTCTAATTTGGATATGATCGGGACCTTTGAGTAATCTTTTGTATGGGAGAGTTCGATGTGCATAGTTGGAGATGGAATCCGATATTTGATCAAGCAGTTAATGAGGTTGTGCCCGGGCGAAGACTCTTTAAGCGGAATCTTCGCACCCGACTTGTACCTATTGGGGTTCCGGTCCATAGCAAGAGCATGATAGTATTTGCTTGTCTTGTCGATCGAGAGCCAAATGTTGGCAACAGATTGCGTCTCAGCAAGTCGTTTCGCAATACGATCTGTTGCTCTGACACGAAGAACAGCGACATCATCCTTCTGCTGTGCTTTTGCCTTGGTTCCAGACCAGATCTGATACATCCCGTGATAAGGATGGTCTACGCAGATTTTGTAGACCAGCTCCAGCAGTAATTTCTGGAATGAGGTGTCTTGGTCTTGAAGTCGGGATGTCAGTTGATTGGCAAGACCAGCAAACTTCCTTGTTGGGACGTCAGACAAATGTCGCATAACCGCCTTGTTAGTAGTCTCCTCTTCTGATCGCTCCAGCCAAAGAGCCGTGAAACGAAGGGCGTCGTTATTGTGTTCATCAGAGGCAATAAGAGATAGGAGGTAGTTCTCGAGACTCAGCCGAACGAATTCACTGCGAGTCTGCTCAACTCGCCGCAGTTCCTGCTCATCAAGGTCCAGCCATTGCTTTTCCTTGTTCAAGACATGTGAATATCTGGTTTTCAGCTGAGCATCCTTTGTGCCGCTGACCAGGGTTTTCAGCTCTGACACTTCATCGCCCTTGGCCTTCTTTAGACTTTGAAGTCTTTTCAAGTCTTCCAGGCCATCTGGGTCCTGCAGTTGTTGATCACAGAACATGGCAAACTGATGGAATACAGCAGCTGCTTGCCGACCTTGACCTTTGCCTTTGAGTTCCTTGAGTGCAGGTTCCAGGTAGTTTTTCTGAATGTCATGTGGCTCTTCAAGGCGAGCGACAGAGACCTGATACCCAATCTTTGAAAGCAAGTCAGATCGGCTGACCGGCAGAGTTTGCTTTTTGAGGGAAGCATCTCTATCTATGCCTTGGAGCATACGAATGGATGTGCTCATCTGACCATAATCCCAGAGAGAATTAGCTGTCTCGATATTAACCGCTGCATCAACATGAATGTCTAAGGCGGCGCATGTCGGGATGAGCTTGGTGAGCCCAGTGGATATTCTGAGACTCTCTTGTGTCGCTTGGTGATAACGATAAATCTGAGATGCGGTGATCATTGCTTCTACCTCCATATGCCGTGCAACGGCCGCGGAAAGCTTGATATTTGTTCGAAGGGTATTCTGCTGACTGACCATGCTCATCGTCGACGCACGGCAAGACAAGATCTGGCTGACACTACCGTACCTAATTGGATGGTTAGTAGCTTGCTCTACGAATAATAACGGATACTCACAGTCCGCTCCGCATCCAATCGCTTCGAGTTTTGAATTTTTCGATGAGAGCATCCATCTCTGCAGTGTCAGAAACCCCTATAACGTCATCAAGTTCTGTTAAGGATGCCAAAGCTCCAAGTCGTTTCCTCAATGAAGTTGCGTTCAGGTCGAGGGCAGCCAAGCTCCTCATTGTGCGACTGAAGCCCTCATGCACAGCCATTCGGATTTTCGTAATATCGGCTGCCTGAGAAATACTTTGGTACGCTTTGTATACTGTGACCGCGTGATGATCACTTGAGGGAGCAGGAAGGTTCCAAATCCCTAATTTCCTAGCAGTATTGAAAGTGTCCTCGAGAGCAGCTGGGGATGACTCCATGTTTTGTTGTGTCTGAAGAAGTGAGTTTGAGAGTCCTGACAACCCAAGTGTACCCAGGGCTCTGACTAAGGCTTGTTCGTCTAACTGAGTCATTGGATCTCCGTAGAATATGTGGTTGTCGTACATGGCGCCTCGGAATGCAAGACTTCTGGGACCATCATTCTCATATTCTACGCGAGCGACAACCTTAGAAAGACTAGGCTCTTCAGGTAGCCCATAGTATGCATCCGGATCATCGATGTTCTCAAAGATCGTAAGGAGAGAGTCACTCATATCCACCTCCTTTGCGGCCGAGGACCTTCTTGAGGACCGCGAGGTTTCAGAAGTAACATACTCGGCGAAAAGCAAAGCGGTCTTGTACATTCCGCATCGCGACGCCGTTGATGCAACCATCGCGGAATCCACCTCGAGCCAATACGATCGGTCAGCTATTGAAGATTCTTTGGGGTACTGCTGTGTCCTGAGATACAGAAGCATGTTGATGAGCAGCTTTAGATTTTCTTTGGCTGCAGGATCAGAGCATTTCAGCCAGCTCTTGATTGCCACAGAAAATGGGCGCTTAGGGGAGTGTTGCTGATTTATCGGAAAGTAGAGCGCAAGATGAGCAACGAAGGGAAACGCGCTCTCCGCAAAGTGCTCAACTCTGGCGAGAATAGGGGCCAGGACTGAGAGAATGATTGACTCTGGAACACATTGGGCAAGGCGTGCGCTCAGGCTCGGGAGCCACTCTTTTGAAGTGATTTCCATAGACCACACGTCCTGCTGATCTGGTGAAGAAGGAGTAATAGGGGCCTTGTCAGATGGAGGAGATCTGTGCGAGCCCCATTGGGAGGTTATTAAGAGAGACTCTGTTAGACTCTTCTGACAAGCTACAGTTAGTGGTTCATCCTCAAGTATAGCGGCATCTGAGACGATGGATCGTAGAGCAGCCTCGGCAAGACCAGCAGTGACAGAATCGGGATTTGAGGTGAGGTCCTGAAGCAGGTAAAGTATTCCCATCTCTGAGCCATTTGACCCTGGAGCTATTTTTTGGTAGCGAGTAAGATGTGATTCGCGTAGAATATTGACTGGAATCTCTCCGGAAGCCGAAAAGGCTCGTCCGACAACTCGTCCTGCCCATGCTAGATACTCTTCGCTCAGATTTTCTGTAT